GGGGGGGGGGGGGGGGGGGAGGGGGAATAACAGTATTTTCCAAACGAGGATATGCCCTTTCTTTCTGCGTAGAACGTCGGATTTTCTCGATTTGCGCGACACGCGAGCGTCAACAGACACGAAAGCATCGAAATATGTTCGCTGGAGAAGGCCGAACGACGCGAGGTCGGCTTAACGATCCTCCGCCGATGACGAGTTCATTTCGATCTGTCATTATTCGACTGACTGTGCCTTGCCGCGTCTGCCTTTCCGTTCGATCTCTCCTCGTGCCGCCCAACCAAATGACCGATACCGGCGAGGATGTGTCGCGGTCGACCTAATTCTTCGAACGAGAACGATATCTTTAACCGACCGTATCTCCGCGCTATAGCGTATTGAGCATCGCGAGCTCTATAACGCACTCCATCTCTTAAATTCTATGTACGGCCGTATGTACGCAGGTGCCTACGAGCCAGCAGGTACACTCTATACCCGAGCGCGCGCGTGTACATGTGCGTGTACACATGTATGTATGTATGTATGTATACATGTATGTATATATGTATGTACACATATGTATGAGCGCGGCACTTGCGCAACTGCGGCGGCTGCAGCCAGGACATCGTGTACATCGGAGCACACGTGTGTGAGTACACGCGCACACGTGTGTGCGTGCATGTATGCACTGCTGAGCGCCAGCCCTACGGTGCATCAGCCTACGAACACAAAACGTTCAGTTGCGCGTATCTCGATGTGTGCGCCGACAGGTGTACGTGCACATATATGTATGTATGTATGTGCGTGGGCGCTCTCGCGCAAAAGCGTCTGTGCTATGACGCGAAACACATTGCGGACTCGCACGGGTAAACAGACGCAGTCGAATCAGTTTGCCCGGCTAATTGATTTTCCTTCACATGGCCGATGCACCGTGCGCACTGCATGCACGCGTAACGCTGCCCGCCGCGGCGCGGTGCAGCGCGCGCGGCCCGAATATAGAGAGACAGTGCAACGCGCCGTAACAAATCCAATCCGAAACTCCCGTTTGATTATCAAGCGAATTCCACGGCCGATTGTAAATCAATCCGTCGCTGCCGCACGCACGGAGAATCGCGCTGATGCTCTCGGAGACCGGGCGCCACGATGTGTCGTCTGAATATCGTCGGTATTAATCGCACCTTCGAGGTGGCACACCTCGCCGACTTGTCAAATCTCCGTTGATAATGAATGAGCCCAAAACGAAAGTCGCGCGAATCCCCGGAGAGTCGCCGCGCAAAATCAGC